TCGTGCCGGTGTGTGCCTGCGTCCTTGCCCCGAGCATGCAGAAGGCACGGCGCCGGGGTTGAACGCCCCCAGCTTCAGCTGCTTTTCTGCGAAAAGCTCGTCACCCTCCAGGCAGCGTTAACCGCCAGCCCTCCTGCAGGCTGCAAAGCGCGTGTTTCTCCCGGTTACGGAATTGCTCCACAAACTCTAAAGAATGAGGATGGAGCAGGCAGGTGAATGAACATCCGGAGGAAAACAGCTTCCCATCGCATCCCGCTGCACACCGCTGCTTGGGACACCCACCTGCAGCAGCCGCTCGGCCGGCCGCTGCCACCGCTCTCTGTGAAGGCTGTACGGGGTAGGAAGGAGCTGTGCCTGTGTAAAACCTTTACACCCCAGGAGAAACAGGGTATGTCAGCGTTAACCAGCAGCTCCAGCCATACGCAGTTGTACCTGCCAGCATCGCTTCCAAAACGCAGCCCGGGAGGGGGGATGTGTGTGGGAAATTGCACACCCTAATATCAGCATTAGAAATGACCTCCCCCACCAGTATTTCTGTATGCAGAAGGAATCTTTGATTTGCTGCTGAGTGGTTTTCTCGCCCCAACCATATCTGCCCAGAGTACCCCAATTGCAGGAGACCCAAAAATGTCTCTGCGAGGCTCATGAGCTGCCCGCACCCTGCACAGCCGTGCTGAGGCCCGCAGGGCACTTGCTGGCACGGTGGGCTCCATGACATTCCTTTAATCTACATTTCTTGGTTACGGCACAGTATTAAATCCTTAAGAAAAACCTGGGGGCTGCGCTTCCCCAAGAGGGGTTCAGAGCGCTGCACTTCTGAGCTGGCAGAGGGGCACCTCTCATTACTGCAGCTCAGAAGAGGTGTTTTGCCCTGTAAAGAGCATTGGGATTTTTGCTGACAGTTACAGATGTCCTCCTACTTCAGATATTAAATGAAATGCATTGTTTTAATGAGCTGCAGTTCTCTTGGTTCCCTTGGAACCAAGTTAGCTTTGAAACCCGAGCAGCAAAGCTCCCGTGTTCCTCATGTTCTTCCACAGGTGGGCTGGCACCGAGAAACGCAGACGCTGTGATTTCTTTAGGAGTGAGAGGTGCTCTGCGAGGAAAGCTCGCCTGGCTCTCACCAGGAGTTTTAGTTAAGCAGGTTCCTCCAGTGACACACCCCCTCTCTCCATTTTCACAGAACTGTCTTTTCTCTCCAAACCCCAAAATTTCCTAAGTAAACACTTTTGTTCCTCCGCAGTGTCTGCCCTTGCTCGCAGACATTGTGTAGTGAGAATGCTGTGTTCTCGAGGTCCAGCACAGGGTAAGAGGGATTGGTGCAAGTCTCTGGCACTCATATGGCTGCATGGAAACGTCTGAGAAGTGCCTGGAGACCGTAATGTCTGGGGAGAGGACAGGGATGGGGTAGGGATGCTTCCTTCATTATCTGCGTGTGCTTCACTTGTATACGGAAAGTGGTGGGGAAGGTTGTGTGAAGAGATCCAAGGGTGAGCATGAACATTTATTGTTCCTCACACACTTTTCCTGCAGAGAAAAAAAAAAAGGTATCTGGGAGAAAGCATAAATCCCAGGAAGCAAAGAGCCAATGTCATTATTCCAAGCAGAAGCAGTGATGCTTAAGGAAGCCTGTGAAGCTGGGCAAGCCCTGAACTTTAGGCAAATATAGCTATTAATCTTTAATGTTTAAGTCTTACAGGTGCACTAAACACCAAATCCGATAGATAAACAGGATTTTGCTGGAGGTCACACGCATCTGGATACATGCAGACAGATGTGCTTAATCAGCATTTATAACAGACTTGCTTTGGCTGGGCGCGGGTTTAAGGACTCCCCAGCTTTTCGTGAGCGAGGGCTGGCTCTCGGCACCACAGGCAGCTCTTGCTCTTAGGGGGACACCTCCAGCCACAGTCCTTGCCCACCGGCTTTCCAAAGACTGATTCACCTTCAGCTTGAAGTATCACTTTGGGAGATAGACTAAAACCTAATCCAGCCATTTTTGCTAATCTAAATGGGTGTTTTGATACAGGCATCGTCTCGCTCATCTCCCTGGCTGTACTGTCTTACGAACGTTACTGCACCATGACGGGGACAACCGAGGCCGATACCACAAACTACAGGAAAACATGGACAGGCATCATCCTATCCTGGACGTACTCCTTGGTCTGGACTGCACCGCCCCTTTTCGGCTGGAGCAGTTACGGGCCAGAAGGACCAGGGACAATGTGCTCGGTGAACTGGCATTCAAAGGACGCTAACAACGCGTCCTACGTCGTATGTCTTTTCATCTTTTGCCTTGTAATCCCTTTTGCCATTATTGTTTATTCATATGGGAAGCTGCTGTGTGCTGTAAGGCAGGTAAGTAGATTCCTCAACTGCCTTTTTACTGTGACCCCAAACTGAGTAGAAACCAGTGACCACCTTTGTAACTTCTCTGCTGTCAGATGTGCTGCCACCCCTGGAAACTAGGTCTCCTGGGACTGTCCTGGTGACAGGCTCCAGTCTACCAGGGCTTTCAAAGTCACACTCAAGTGTGAGCAGCTGGAGGTCCCTGTGACAGCTTCACAGGTGAGGGAAGTTTGCCAGACCACTCAAGATACTCCCAATTACCCCTAATTAAAACTAGGAAGGACTTACCTACCTTGCTGTTAGGACTTAAATCTGCAGCAAGCCTATGGAGAGGTGAGTATCACCTGCAGGTTCAGAGGCTGTAGGATCAGTGGGGGGCATGGGAACTGTGATTTCAGAAGATCAGTGCTTCTCTGGAAGCATAAGAACGAACCCTGCAAAAAGGGATGCTGAAAAGTTGCATATAATCCAGCTGCTGGCAGGATCTAGGGAAAGCCAGAGTTTAGCAAATACAAACCGTAAGGCGGTCCTGTGGCCTGAAGCTTACCCCTTGCACACAAACCAAAGCCAATCCTTAAATGATCATGAGTTATTAATGGATACCGGAGGTAAGAGTTACTTGCTTCTAACAGTGCTAGCCCACGCAGTGCAGTGTGTGGTACAGAACTTCATCAGAAGTTGAGCAGCAGCAGGTTGAAGTGCACTGTCGGGCATCTGGACATACTGGTGCACAAGTAGTTTGTTTTCTTGCAAACAGCATCTGCATTTAGCCACGAGTCCTAAGGAGTGACGCACCAGTGCTGCCCGCTCATGGCACAGCGTCGCTGGGAGAGGACCCATGAGCGTGGCAGCCCCTCTGTCAGGGACCAGCCTACGACCAGGCAAGGACCAGGCAGCTCAGGCCAGGCCACCCACTCTCCCCCAGCATGAGCATTCACTGCCCTACACAGCCCCATGCTTGGCCCCTACACCCCAGAAGCCCAGCCCAGGGCACGAGCTGTGCTACGAGATCTGGCTTTGTCTCAGCTCGTGGAACAAGTGCCTGAAAGATAAGGGAGAATTAGATAAAATCACTCTATGAGCCACATTTGAAGAGGTAGTCATTTGACTTAAGCTTACAATTGCTCTGGGACTTTGAGCAGAATTAAATCGAATCAGTGGAGATGTTGGAGTTGATCCTTCTCAGCCTTTCCCAACCCATGGTCTCATTACCAATACCTTACATTCCCCTGATAGTGAGCTCGGTCCTCTTTGGTCACTGTGAACAGCAACTGCTCGTGCATCACCATGGGCCTGTCCCCTGAGCACAGGCTGGCTCTCATGGGACTCTGTTTTTTCCATCTTTTGAAGCTACAAAAGCTGTTTTAGAGGTGCTGCTTGTTACAAGCCAGTCATAGCAGCTGAGGCTGGAGCAGGTAATGCCTGCAGGAGAGGCTCTTCCTCTCCAAAGCTCCTCCACGGGCAAGAAACAGCAAGAAAACTTGGACGGAGGGTTGTTCCCTGCGGGAAGGTTGTGCCGTCCAATACTTTGGCATACGGAGTCTTTTTTTCTGCTAGGGCTGCATCTAGGTGGGAGCACTGAAGCGTGTATGTTTTCACATTAAATACCCTTCCCACTGATGCATCCATCACATAACAAGTGAATTTTAGGCCCTAGAGAGCTCTCTGTCTTTGGACATCCTCATTAGGGTGGGCATTAGTAAGGCACTAGTTCAGGCGGCAGCAGGACTCGGCAGCTTCAGCAGAGCCCTCTGCAAACCCAGCGAGTGATGGGACTCTGTCAGTGACATGGACTGGTCCTGGGGACAGCGTGGTGGCAAGGGGCTATTGCACCCTCCATCAGGGGTGACAAGGATGAAGGTCTGGAGCTGCCTTTTCCTGGGCTGTTTGGTCCTGGAGGGACCCCAAAACATGGGAAACATTCTGGGAAGCAACAAGAAAATGACTCTGTAAGCCTTTAATTATGCTTTCAACTCCTGCCACAAACATCTTCCCGAAACTGAAGTTACCTGCACCACTTACAGGAGTTAAAATTGTAGTGGGAGATCGGGGTGTTTGGTTTCGGCCAAGCATGAAAAATTATATCCTTTCGCTTGACATTTGTATTTTCATGCTCTGGTTCTGACATGATTGTCATCACAGGAGACATGCAGGGATGCTTAAAACCTTGGAAATCGGTCCAGGCTCTCATATCCTCCTGTGCTGCTTGCAAGCAGCTGACAGATCCTACCGTTGTGCTTCAAGCTCACAGTTTCCTTAAACCTGAAGATAATTGTCACTGCTAAGAGGGGACCATTTTTGCCCCCAAGTCTCATTTTAGGCTGGCAGGCAACAGCCAGAGGGAAGGGTTTGCTCTGAGCCATTTCAAATGGGGAGCAAAGGAACTTGAACATATTACAGTATGCTGTTGACAATAAATCTGAACACTGAAAACAACCATTAGAAAATGAGGAGTATTTAGTTTTTCAGACACACAGCTTTTCTCTTAATTATCTCCTTTGTGAGAAGACTTGTTTTCACAGTGATTTCACACCTCCCTGTGAAGCACTGTGCAGGACCCAGGAGAAAGCAAAGGCAGCTGCTTTACCCGTGGGGAGGCTGTTTTGCTGCAGAAGCGCGATGAGGGTGTGCAGCGGCAGGCAGCTGGGTGCGAGGGCTCACCTCTCCATCCTGAGGTTCCTGCACGGAGGGATCCACTGCATCACCTCGGTGGGATGGTGAGAGCCAGCGTTGGTCCCCACGGCTGGTCCCGTGCCCATAGCAGAGCTGCTAGCAAAACCCTGCTGACTGGGGTGTGCTGCAAAGAGCAAGATGCTTTATAATTGCCTTAGTTTTGTTAGCAGGGTCTCGAGAGTGTTATTTCCCCCCATAGCTGAGTATGTAGCTTCAGATGAGCACACAGGGTCGCATCCACGCTACATGCCACAGCAGGGAAGCTGTAATCCCTCGGCTCAGATCGAATGAGAAGTTCACAGAAATGACAGAAGTGAAACAGAGCCTGGGAGACAACTGGCAGCCACCCCTGAGCAGGCTGCGAGGAGCTGAAAAGCAAATGCAACAACCGCTCCTCGTTTTGCACAGCCTGGTGTCCTGGGAAGTCCTAGGCGCAATGCAGGAAAGCTGGATGCATCCTCCATCCAAATCCTTGTGCTGGTTTGAAAAGCTCGGTCGGGTTTATTGTTTCATTGCTTCAAAACCATTGTAGCCAGCAGAAACTGCACGTGGACAAGTCTCCCCAGGACAACTTCAGCAGTGCAAACAGTTTATGGGCTACCGACAGCGATAGTTTGGGATTCCTTCTAGGACACATACTTCATAGCCAGCATCAGGTTCAACTTGAGCTCTTGGATGTCCTGGAGAAGCAAGGTATCTTTCCTGGGTTTCACCAGTGTGAAACTTGCCCAGTCCAAGGCAAAGGGTGTAAAGGTTCTAAGTACATACCTGTCTCGTCAAACGTGCTCCGCATTTTAAGTCCCTGGTTGGAAATAACCGGCTCACTGAAAGCGACAAACAGGCAGCAATTCCCCCATTGCATCCATGAAACTTGCAGGAGACAACTGTTCTGCTACCAGGTTTCAGAATAGCCATAGTCAGCCCCTGAGACCTTAAAAACATTTGTTGTAAACAGAAAAATGATTTGTTGAGCACAGGGGTTAAAAAGTCAGTATTTAAAGTCTTTGATAAGCTTGGCAGAGTCCTCTCATATTAATTGTCAGAATGCAAATATAATTGATTCCAGCTTTTATATCACTATATTATAGGGTAGATTTTTATTCCCTAATTCACTGACAGACTACTTGTCTGTCATCTCCTTGACAAATGAATCTGAAGTCCATCCTCAAAATTATTGACTGTGGTTCATCCTTGGAAATAAGTACCTGGGCTCAGTACTCTGCTTTTCCACAGACTCCTGTCCTGGGTTGAGTTACATCCGCATGAAAGTACTGTAAGTGCAGGGATTCAAAGCTCCTGAAGTTTAAGGGAGGTTTAGCAGCTGTTTCATTTCACACTCCAAATCTGACCAGTCTCCAGACTTTCGGTTCCCCTTCTAGTCCCAGCCCACCAGAGCATCCTTCCTTGCAGAGAGAAGAGGAAGAGCCCAGCAAAGCAGCAAAGCTGGTGGGAGGTTGGCTTTCCAGCAGAGTCCCATCTCCTGTTCTCCAGCTGGCCCTGGCATGCCAGCCAGGAGATGGGTACCAGTGTCCTAGGGGACATTCCTACCCAAAGCCATGAGCACCTGTGCCAACACACAGGCTGGCCCGCTGGCGTGGGGAGGGCGAGTGGGCAGAGCGCAGCCCCAAGCAAGGCTTGCTCTCCCCAGCACCTCTCAGGCATGGACCAAAGGCATGTTGAGGACTGCACTATGGAAATAATCATGCGTGGGATCTTAAAACATATCCAGCCTTGTACTGTCCTCACCACCCACTGCACGGCCCTCTGAGCACCCTCACTCCAGGAGTAGTCACAAGCGTGTCAGGAAAAGCCAGGATGTAGGCATGTTTTCCATCAGACCCTCTTGGTTCCTCAAGTGTTATGGAAAGGAAAAAAAGCTGCAGTAAGACATTTGATGTGTTGCGTATTAATGTAATTAATTAATCCAACAGTTTCTAATGTTGGGGTAATAGTTTTGCACAGCTTGGGCAGAGGAAAATGGGGGAAAACAGCAGTTTCCAGTAACTCGCTTCCACTGGCAAGAAGGGGAAAGGGTAATTACACTGGCCCTCAAGCATTTATCTAGACAATTATTAATGCTACTGCAATGCTTACTCAGAATAAATTGAGACTTAACAGGGGATGTGAGACAAACACATTCCCAAAGGCAGGAAGCATTAGAGCTTAAGCACTGAAACACTTCAGATGCCAGATTAGAGAAATCAGTTGTAAGACAGCTGAACCCAGAAAAGCGTGCAGCAACAGTGCAGCCCCAGTGATCGGAGAGAGCAATCACCTTTAGAAACAAAAAGACCCCAAAGGATTGGTTTTCTTTGCTTCATTTGACTTCAGTCCCA